TGTCCTTTGGCAACCTTCCGACAATGAGTGGGTATATCTGTCACTGACCACAGTGACTACCTTCCAAGTCCACAAAAAGGGCAAAAAAACAAACCTGGCCTTTTCCTTCCAGTTTTTTGTGTTCCTTAAGAAGTCGCTCCACACGCATCACACTGTTTCCGATGTCTGTAAATTCTGCTTGCTCTGCCAACAAGTTGTCCAGGGCAAGCTTAACCTACGAGACACATTAGAACAGTCCAGAAGTAAGCCACTGAGTACCCACCTGGAGGTGGAGGTTTGCTGAACTCTAAGAAAACTCAAAAGTCCTAAAAGGATTCAGGACCAATGGATACACAGCTCATTAGCTTTCAGATTAAGCAGGGGTGGGGTGGGGTTGCTGAGATACATGTAGATGGAATAGTAAAGCTACATTCAACAGATTACCAATCAGAAAGGAAGAAAAACCATCACTGAAATACCATGTATGCCAACAGGGAAACTGGATCCTAGAACATTACTATCCCACTGAAAAAGTGAGAAGAGGATGTCTGAGAGGAAAGAGGGGGCTGGTATAAAGTGGGGGGTGACGGGGGGAGAGAAACCCCAATACCCAGAGTTCAAGGCAGAAGAGAGAACTGGTGGTCACTGAACCATAAAAGGAAGCTCTATGAAACAAGAAAAGTCCTGTGTCCTTTGGCAACCTTCCGACAATGAGTGGGTATATCTGTCACTGTCCACAGTGACTACCTTCCAAGTCCACAAAAAGGGCAAAAAAACAACACCTCACAAAAATTGTGCTCAAAGTGCTGTAGTTGTAGGCATTGACTAAGCTTCAGGTGGTGCTTGGACCAAAACCGACTAAAGGCTTTTTCTGTTTCATCCAACTGAACTAGTAACCTGTCAAGAAAGAATGAGAAAGACACATTGTGGTTAACTCTCATTCCCACAGGAGTCTGTGTAGGTTTATGCAGCTAACATCTATGTCTTTAGTCAGTGTTTTAAATTGTGGTAATGTCCTTATTATGAAAGTCTGTGTCACCTATGACTTTCTCATGGTCCCACTGCTTCCCATACCTTCCATGTTTCTACCAGGACACCTTCCCTGCCAGGCAGAAACTTTGCTTCAGCGGCTGTGCTTAGAACATGCCCCCGGTGACCTTACTTTTGTGCCTTCTCTTTGACAAAGCACATCATCCAGACAAACTGATATTTGGAAATGAAACCATCTCCCCTGAAATCCTGGGATGACAGCATTTCACAGGAGGACGGGATGGCATTCTCATAAAAATATCTCTATAGCTGGATGCCAGATGGGTGCCATCGTTTTCCCATTGTTGCCTCTAATATTATTCTTTCTTGACCCTACCAAGACCCAAGAGTAGCTGTTCTAGTCTGTCCTTGGTTGTTTCCGATCATCTAGTGCTCTTCTCTCCTAAGAAAGTATATTCCACCTTCACTCACCTTTCCATGGTAGCTACATTCTCAAGTTGATTGGGACTGAGTTTCCTGGTGGGACTTTTGGTTGCTGGTTGTTGAATACATGACAGCAATGTGGCCCCTTGATTTCCAAGTAATTTTAGCTCATCCTACAGAAAGAGAAATGTAGTCTCTCTTAATAGAAATTAATGGGAAAAAAATCATTGGTAGATTTGGAGTACGGAGAATGGTTTACCTTTCATTCAGGGAATTACATGCTAACAATTCAAGCTGCAGATTTATAAAATTAATTAATTTATTCTTAATGGGTAACACTACACATGACAAAATTAAAAATATACAAAAGGATATATATGGGGAAAAAACTAGTTTTTTGTCCACAGCCCATCGACTTTCCCTCTCCAAAAGCTACAACTGTTACGTTTTGTGTGTATCTCAAGCTGTTGTAAATTAAAAGCAAAATTAGTTAATGAAAACTGGTTCTAATCCAAGACAGTGACCAGAAACAAGAAAATGACAGATATTGAATGTTAAACGCTGGGAACTGCCACACAATAATAATGCAACAATTGCTAGTTAACCAGCCATCGACTTTCCCTCTCCAAAAGCTACAACTGTTACGTTTTGTGTGTATCTCAAGCTGTTGTAAATTAAAAGCAAAATTAGTTAATGAAAACTGGTTCTAATCCAAGACAGTGACCAGAAACAAGAAAATGACAGATATTGAATGTTAAACGCTGGGAACTGCCACGCAATAGTAATGCAACAATTGCTAATTAACCAGAAAAAAGAAAAGAAAAGAAAAACAAACAAACAAAAAAAACTTCATCTGGTCTCATCAATGAACACCTGCCTCTCCTTCCACCTACTTCCAAAAAGCGTGGCACGGAGCACTGGTGGTACAGTGGTTAGCGTGGCTGCCTTCCACGCTTGGCAGAGGTGGGTGGCAATTTCAGTTTGATGTGGAAAGAGTCATACTTCCAAGGCAACTCTATTCTGCTCTTTGTACATGGAGACCTAGGGCTTTGCAATTGGGGAAGCGTCAGGCTAGCTCCTTCCAAATCCAACAGCTCTTGTTCTCTGCTCCCACGGGGCAGGTGTCTCAATGCCCTGAGCATTAACCATGGGGCAAGGCAAAAGAGGTGAAGCTTGGCCTAGAACTTTGCTCCCAGGAGTTGTGGTTTTGATTCCTGGGTCACGCAGGATGCTGGTCTGGTATGCTGAGTGAAAGTCCCGTAGTTACAGAACAGTCACATCTACATCTATGCACATAAACACTGGCTCTCTTCCTCCAGGCCTGGCCACCTCCAGCCTTCACACAGCCCCCGGCTTATTCCCCGTGGGAGGAGTTTTAGACTCTTCACTCTGGTCACAAAGAAGGCCGGCACTCTCAACCGCATGCCTTTGCTCCTTGTCTCCCACCCCACTCCAATATTCACGCACTTAAAGGCTTCCATTGTCCACTCTCAGCCTCATGACAGATTTGGTTTCTCTGATCTAGCCCCGCTGTGGCTCTCTCCAGGGCAGGTAATGCCTCAAGGTGGCCACTTGGCTGGTATTTCTGCCTGACAACTGGACATATCCCTTCTTTTCCATTCTAGGTATCAGCCCTCATTTCTTCTTATTTCATCAATGTTCATGAAATATTTGTAGGTTGGATGAGTTAATAATAGTCTAAAAGAAACCAGGTTACAGGTGAATAGACAAGATAAGCCTGGGAGAGGGGGAAGCACTCATTAGTAGTACTCATAGCTTTTCCCTCCTCTTCTTGCCTGCTAAAAAGAGTCCTGGCTTCTTTTCTCACTCAGTTTCTTAACTGCCCCTGAGCTTCTAGCATTCCAGCAATATTCTGGCATTAGCCATTATTAGCCACAATTAGTGTCTGTAGGTGTGCAGGATGCAGAATTGGGAGGAAAGGTGGAGGGGCCCAGCAAAGAAGAGGCATATTGATTGCCAGGGGAGATTGGAAGAGAGATACACTGTTCCAATACCATTTGCTAATGTTATCCATTCATGTATCTCTGTGAATTCATGCATATGGGGGCCCAGGGGGAGGCCAGTGCCCAGGCACCAGGCAGGCTGCAGGCTGAGAGGTTCGCTGGAATGCCTGAACCAAGGATTCTTAAAAACTCCAAAGACTATTAGGTTATTTCTGGAGGCTATGTAATTCTGATTGTCTTCTTGATTATTTGTTACCTTGGTAATATTGATGGAATTGTCATCTCTGAACAAAACTGAATGAATACTGAATGGAACAAATACTGTATACTAAGCAGTATTCACATTTGTAAAGACTGCTTATCACATGATTGAAGGACCACTGGCACTTTCCCCTTTCTCCTTGCATGATGAGAAAAGGCCTATGGGTCTCTTAAACTTCTTATTTTAGCAACAACAACGACAATGAGAGTCTTACCCTCTTTAAATGAACACATGGTATAGTGTCTTAGTTGACTAAAGCACCTAAGTGTGGAAGGCCAATGCCCTGTGTTTCTGGCCTAAATAAGACCAGAAAAGAGGCGAGAACCACCTTTTGGGGGCTCAGGAGAGAAACTGTCTATTTCTGTGAACTGCTCCCAAGAGCTTTAAAAATTCACTGTTCTGAGGAATGAATCTTACATTGGTTTTTCACTTGGAAAAGGTGCTTTCCAAACGGAAAAATTATTTAATTAGTTATAGACCATTTGATAAGTAATATGCTCTAATAAGAATAAAATAATATGTTTAAATAACCATAGAAGCTACTAAGCATGTAATAAAAGTTTAAATGTATTATTTTTAAAAATATAAAAATAATAAATATAAAAATAATAAAAAAATATAAAAATAAATGCTTTCTCTCTTTAAAGCATTTTTGGATGGAAAAGGAAAAATGTAAAACTCTAGTTTAATTATCTTGGTATTTCTGCTTCTAATTTATAAGATAAGGAACCAAGAAATAAAAATTTATATTAGATCAAAAATTAGCAATCACGAAAAGGCTTTAAAAAACCCTCTGTGTTGTCTTTAAAGGGATAATAATACTTGGCAAAATAAAGACAGAATAATTATATTTTAATCTAAATTCAATTAATATTCTTACTCAAGATAAAGACATGGACATATTAAACTCTTTGGAAATTTTATCTTAAATTAATTATAGGTCTTTTCCAAGATTTTAGGGCAGCACAGAATATAAATGTAACATAACAGTTTAGTTTATGTAAGACTTTGCATTTACTTTCTTACTAAAAGGCTAATTAAATGGATTCTCCTAAATTCCTTTCTTTTGTCTTATTGGTAAGACATGGGTGTTTAACCAAATTGAGATAAGATGGAGTACAAAGTCATTTCTTACCAATGTCAGACAATACCGCAAATTATGTGGATCTACAAAGTTATTCCACCACATAATCGGAGGGAAGTTTTAGCCTTCTTTGTGCAGGGTTGTGTTTTAATACCAACAGCTTGTCGCCATGCCCAAGGAAGTGGCCTTACTTCATCTTGGAGGGTGGTTCTTTCCCTTCCCTCTGTGGACTGCTTTGCCTGTGTAGACACGATGGAACACCCATCCATCTGCCTTTCCCAGGAGCCCTCACTGCACATACAGCAGGACCTCCCTAGCTGATTTCACCCCTCAGATACGTGTCCTCGTCTAAAATCAAAAATGTTTTACCTTTTCCCCAAGGGCCTCCCCGATTGACCACATTGTCATCTCAGTGCTTCTGCCCTGCAACCCCTCCAAACCATCCTTGGATCGAGGCAGAGAGCACACTTGCTCATGAGCCCAGGCCCGGAGCTCCATGCCCGGTGCCTTCCTGCCATGCTCCACATGCTCAACATCACACAGGTATACCAGCAGACCGCTCTATGACCTGTGGGCCGGGACCACCAACCCTTTTCTGGCAGACTTCACAGAGGCACCCTAGACCTGCCTCTGCACCCCATTACCATCTCTTCCAAGAATCATGGGAGGTGAACTTGGGCAAAGAAAAAAGTCAACCGTTTAAGGGATATTTTTAGGGAAAATTATCTAAATGCTTCCAGGATGCTTTCCAGCTTTCACAGTTCACAGCCAGATCTTTTGGTGACTCAGAGTCATGTTGGGGATAGATTTTGAACTCTTTTTCAATAGCAACCTCCTTAAAAAAGAGAATTAAACAGTGCTCCCTGACACATGGAAGCATTAACTTGCCTCATTAATGAGACTGAGATTCCCCGAACTAAACTAGGTGTTCTTTGAGTTTGCAGTCTTTGTTTATTTGTTTTCCTGGCAGGTAGTATTGAGTAGTCGATAAATGTTGAATAAATGAACAAATAAATCAACCACTTAGCAAAGCCTGTTTGCAGATTTTGGGTCACGGGCGAGAGTTCAGCTCTTCCCAAGTTCCATGCAGCAGGAGCACAAGCAATGCTGAGCTGTCTCAGCCTGAGGCAGCTAAGGAACTGAGGCAGCTAATCCTCCGTTCGCTGCCCTCTTGAGTTCTTGTCTTCTATGAAATAACAGATTCCACATTCGGTCTGTTGGTGTTTCTGGAGGCAGAAAAGGGCTCGACACCCATGCAGCCAGCCCCAGGAAGACTTCCCATCACTGCATGAAAGAACCTGCCAAGCTCCCTCGAGGGCAACTCATAAAAACAGTTCTTGATGTATTTTTTGTGAATCACTTAATCGGTGCCTCTCCTTAAGCCCAGTTCAGAGCGTTTTCCCTAGTCCTCTTCCTCAAATTAATCCCCAAATAAAAAGACACATCCCTGGGAAAGTGAAGCAGTCCGTCAGCTTGGTAGGCAGCCGCAGATTTCACAACAGCCCCAGAAAAGCTTATGCTTCAAAAGCTGACTCCCTGCCCTCACTGCACTTTCAGCCTCTCGCATCTTGCTCTGTCCTGGGCTGCCCTTGGAGGGATGCTCGCCCGCCTCATCCTCATCTCGCCAGCACAAAGCTGGAATGAGTTTCCCTTTGCTGGGAGGCTTCTCACAGGTCTTAACTGCACTCCTTTTAGATGCACCATCCAGACTCAAAGAGGTTTTCTCTTCGCAAACCGCCCAGCGCCAAAGGCGGAAGATGTTCGGTGACTTCCAAGTCAGTGGAGAAGAGGGAAGAAGAGGACTTAATTCTGCTCCCAGCTCTCTCCGGGAGGCTGACCACCTGCTGGCACAGAGGCTGGACTGTGGGAGGCCACTGACCACTCACCTGCAGCTTGTCCCGCTGCTTTGTGTGGGACATGAGCAGCTCTGCAGTAGACGGCACGCCTCTGGGCAGCTCTGTTGCGGCCAGGCGGGCCCCAAACGTCTGAAGCATCTGGGCAGTGGTCTTCAATGTCAAGGCAAAGTTTTCAATGGCCTGGGAGGTCACAGAATCATAACAGTGTGGTGGGATTAACATTCACCAATATGCTTTATTCATGGAAGGACAGTAGAATTAGCTACCATTCTCTGAGTAGCTACAAAGGGCCAAGTATTATACTCAGTGCTCTACCTTTGTCTACCAGCTCAATAATCCAGAGTGGGAGGTATTTTATCCAGAGAGAGAATCATTGATTGGCTTCCTCCTGCACGCCCCCAACCGTGGATCGAGCCCACAACCTTTCTTTCTTCATTTGCTAGATTTTTAATACATTACTTTAAATTCTGTTTCTTTGTTATGGGGTGAGGCTACAACATTAGTATTTCCGGAGGATGAGGCCCAGAAATCAGGATTTTAAAAAGATTCCCAGGTGATTCTAATGTGCAGCCAAGGTTGAGAACTGCTGCTCTAAAACAAGGTGAATTCTCATACCTAATTAAATGTAGTTCAGGTGTTGGCAACCTGTTTCCAAACTGACCAGGGGCAGACAGGTGTGCTGACACCACATGCTGCCATCAGGGTGGGCACGGAGCTTCTGATTTTGCTTAAACAACCTAATTTTTTCAAGGGCATAGGGGCTAAAAGAGCAGGGGAAGGGGCATGACAACTTTTTATAGAAACACATTATCTGGTGAGTTTCAATTGTACTTTTTCCTCAGTATTTCTGACCCTTCTAGTGTAGCATAATTGCCACAAATATGAATAAGTAGGGAAAAGTAAAACCCTATATAAGTCAGGTGCTTTCACAGCTTCCCGTCTGTCTATACATTAGACTCACCTGGGGAGTTCTGTGAGCCACGAATGATGGAGACCCATCCCAACTCAAATAAATTAATTTCTCTAGCTGAGGAGGGTTTGGCTCTTTGAAAATTCCCCAGGTGCATTCTAAGTCGAGTCCCCAAGACTCCCATGCCAGACAAGGAGGTGAGGTGAAGGGCGTCAGCAGGAGAAACTCCAGCCTTTTCCCTTCAGCCTACTTTTCTCCCAGCCTGTGGCTTGGAAAACCCAACCTTCCCAGTGGTAGGTAGTCATAGGCAATGACCTCCCAACAGCTGATCTTAATCAACCTTGTCTTCAAGAAAACACGGAGAGACACTGAAAACAGCACACAAGTTGGTACTCACAGTTCGATGACTGATCCACTGGCTGTGGCGATATTCCAGAGTTCCCCCTAAGTCCTCTGTCAGTTGGCTTTTGTCAATGTAGCCTTGAAGGTCAGAGACAGAATTTAACATAACGATCTATAAGAGGAAACAAATTAATATATTCCTCACAGACGATTAAATAGTAGCTCATCTGGATTCTACTGTTAAGTAGCACTTCAACTCTGCCTTCTCGGAGATTTATATCCAAAATGGTTATGATGTCCAGCAGAGAAAGTCCCTTTCCACTTCCCCGCTTTGAGAGATGTACCCCCAATTTACCCTTATGGAGGAGGTTCGGAGGTAACAGGGAGTGGGTTTTCATAAATTAACAATCCTGCTGATGAACACACCCGTGTGTGAATGCCCACACATCTAGAGGAAGGTGACACAGTCCAAACTGCCCCCAGGCAGGGCCCTGGCTCTCTGTCCCAGGCCATACACCACACCTCCTAGTCACTCCTGATCAGAAGCATGGGCCCCTCCCTCCTATCTCTGAAATGTATCCCCGGATGCCTTCACCTAATGACCTTATGTTTCTTCACTCTTTGTTGATTATTTTGAAAATTGATTCTTGGTCAGAGAACATAAGAATATAGGCTTTCACCCTGGCCGGTGTGTCTCAGTGGGTTGACTGTCATCCTGTGCATGGAAAGGTCATCATCTGGATTCCCAGTCAGGGCACATGACCAGGTTGTGGGTTTGATCCCCGGCTGGGGTTCGTATGGGAGGCACCTGATTAATGTTTCTCTTTCTGTCTCTCCCTCTACCTTCCTCTCTCTGAAATCAATAAAAATATAATCTTTAAAAAGAATACAGGCTTTCTTCTATAATTATATCGTATTAGTCAAGTGATAAGTCCACTTTGGAATGAAAACAATATTAAGTTAGGGCCTAAAGTCTATAGGTAAAAACAAAAGTGATGTATTCATCCAACAAATATGCATTGAACTTCTAATAAATGCCAGGCTCCGAGGGGTAAAACAGCAAGCATGACAGCCCTGCCTTCAAGGAACTAAGGTTTAGTGGGATGTGACTGCACAGAGCACTCTGTTAACCTCATTGGCCCTAGGACTTTCTCCTTCGTTTCTGAGAAAGAGTTTGGGAATTTTAAAACAATATTTTTATAATAGGAGAAAAAGAAAACAGAAAAACAATGTGAATCCATCTGTGTCTTTCTTCCCTAAGAATTTTAAACCACTTTTTGGAGCTTCAAAAAGATTTTTAGTCTTTCTACTATTCAATATTATAAGACACATAACAGGAAATTATCAAGTGAAAAATAATTTTTTTCTTCTCAGAACATCAGCAGCTATGGTAATACTGGGATTTTTTTTTAAATAGCATTATGCAACATCGTATTGGGCAGAAATAACTTTGCCCCACAGCCTGGAGTTTCAGTAACCTATCGTACCAGGCCCAGGTCTTCCGTGCCACCTCACTGGCAGGACTCCGCTTTCTCATCTTTCCCAAGGAAACTCCAGTAAAGACTCTGATCTAGGTTTTCCCCTCCATCCTGCTTCTGCCTTCTGAGCAAAACCTGGGCTTCCCCGAGGGCTTCAGTGACATGAGGTGATTCCCTCTCTGAGACCTGTGAGTATAATAAACTTCCTCCTTCAAGCTCATTCTCAGTTCCTCCTGGGCACCACCAGCTGAACCATATCCAACATGTACATTCTTAGAACAGCTGCTATAGATTAAGAATGTATCTATTCCTTTTCAGTATACATTTATGCTCTTATCTATAATTGCTTAAAGCTGTTCTTTCAGAGAGATCTGTGATCATACCATCATGAAAGAAGCCTTTCCTGTATTCAGTCACACAATCCATGTTAAGAAACCAATTTGTATGACCACAGCCTTAGTCACTTCACATAATTTTCTCAGGCTGCTATGAGGATAGCTGTTTTAGAATAGATAGGTGCCAGCAATCGGCTCTCAGAAACCCTTTGCTATTTCAGAGCAGCCCTCTCCTTGGCTAAAGGTACAGCGAGGCTAAGTCACTTAACTACCATTACATCCCGGTCCACCTGGTTCTTGTAAGAATCAGGGAAAATGAACTCCTTTCCCCTCACTCAACCTGTGAAAATATAACTATTATCTCACTAGAAATGAGCAGGGAGATCCTATATAATAAAAGCCTAATATACAAATCGACCAAACGGTGGAATGACCGGCAGAACAACCGGTCACTATGATGCGCACTGACCACTTGGGGACAGACGCTCAATGTAGGAGCTGCCCCCAGCCCACAGGCCCCAGGCCAACCAAGGAGAGTGCCAGTGGGAGCCCACCCCCCCGCAAGATCGCCCTGCAGGTCACCGCACAGATCGGCCCTGATTGCTGGCCAGGCCTAGGGACCCTACCCATGCACAAATTTCATGCACCAGGCCTCTAGTGTTATAATAAAAGAGGACAGGATGCTACACATCTGTAAAGTGCTAACATCACAATAACGTTTTACTAACAAAGTAAAGAAAGCAACAAACAGTTTGAACTGTCATAAAAAGAACTAAATATATTTTGAATATTGATTCCATCAGCTTGGTAACCTAGGACTCTGAATTCTGTGGCACAGCAGAGCTGTGAGGAGAATGCAATCTTCTCTGTAAGTTTATCTTATAGAATAAACTTTTCGCATTAAAAAATACCCTGCTACATGTGCCAGTAGTTTAGCTGACTGAGCGTTTTCTAAAAAGTTGATTTTAGTTTAAAATTAAAAGTATGATGTTTGGGAATCAATACATTACCACAAACAGAAGTAGCTAAAGAGATAGTGTCAAGATAAAGCAGGTGTTCATTCTCTCCTTAGTATATAGATGCACCATGGGAGAAGCAGGGCATAAATCACATATGCACTAGTATCTGTGTACATACTATCACATGGAGAGGTGTGTTTTATACACAACCAGGGAAACAAACACATGACGTTTGGTCAAATCTCAGTTCAAATTCCTTGTTTGGGGGCATTAGATTTTTTTCAATCACTTACTACATATATGTATATGTATGTATATATCTTTATATGTATACTAGAGGCCCGGTGCACAAAAATTTGTGCACTCGGGGGGGGGCGGGGTCCTTCAGTCTGGCCTGTGCCCTCTCGCAGTATGGGACACCTCGGGGGATATCCACCTGCGGGCTTAGGTCTGCTCCCCGGGGGATTGGGCCTAAACTGGCAGTCAGACATCTTTCTGGCAGCCCGGCAGCCCTCGGGGGATGTCCACTTGGCAACAGGGAGCAGGCCTAAACTGCAGTCGGACATCCTTAGCACTGCTGATGCAGAAGAGGCTCCCACCACCACTGCTATACTGGCAGCCGCCAGCCTAGCTTGTGGCTGAGCAGAGCTCCTCCCTGTGAGAGCATCCTGACCACCAGGGGGCAGCTCCTGCATTGGGCGTCTGCCCCCTGGTGTTCAGTGTGTGTCATAGCGACCAGTCATTCCCAGTGGTCCTGCTGTTAGGGTCAGTTTTCATATTACCCATTTACTATACAGGATAGAGGCCTGGTGCATGGGTGGGGGCTGGCTGGTTTGCCCTGAAGGGTGGCCCGGATCAGGGTGGGGTCCCACTGGGATGCCTGGCCAGCCTGGGTGAGGGGCTGAGGGCCATTTCAGACTGGCCACACCCCCTTCTGGGATGGGGGGAGCTGCTGGGGTGCCTGGCCAGCCTGGGTGAGTGGCTGATGGCTGTTTGCAGGCTGGGCC